CCAGAACTTGCAAGGTGGCTCGGTGGTTAGCACCTAGAAGCTAGAAGGTAACCGGTTCGCGTCCCGGTGAGGAAGGGGATTTAAATATCTATATTTGTCACTTCTTAAATCAGAAAACACTGTCAGAACCCATTTTATCTATATTTTTATGACCAAAATGATGTGTAAATCAGTCTGAGGATGATCTGAACCAACAGTACAGACAGGAGCAGCATCGGTTACCATGGTGATCCAGCAGCGAGAGGTTAGACAGACGATGGAGAGCAGAAGATCAAGGAACAGGCAGACCCACAACTACACCCAAAAGCACTTTGTAACAAACTCTGGTCCAGGTCCAGGACCCTGCAGCTGTTGTGGGTTTAATCAAGTTTTCAGGGTTTGACTTTGTCTGTATCTGGTCTTCTGTCAGCTGCTGTATTAATATACAGTCGTTCTCAGATGTATTCATCTCCTTCCATTAAAGAAAAGGCAAAACTCCCAATAGTCACTCAAATAACTAGAAACTGAAAAAAGTAATAATAAATAAAAATTTGCTAAATTATAATTTGGTGAAATAAGACATTGCTTTTGAATTGTGGTTGAAAAGAATAATTAAAAAAAAAAAAAAACAGACAAATGAGAGCCCTTTGCTGATGAGCAGTGGGCCAGAATACCTGTCACCAGGTGCAGAAGTCTGACTGAGAGTTACAGGAAACAAAATATTAGTTCACGGGTCTCATCATGCTTGTTTGCTTTTTTTGTTTGTTTGTTTTTTTAAAAATATTTCTGTTGAGCCACAATTCAAAATCAATGTCATGATTTTCATTAAATTTTTATTTATTATAACTTTTGTCAACTTATTTCGGTCACAGCTGTTTTTTTCCTTCTTTAATGGGAGGCTGTGAATACATTGGAGGATGAGTGTTGGTCTGCAGAGGAAGCTGCACCTCAGCTTGTCACAACAGCGCCACCTGCTGACTGCTTTCTGTCCACGTTTCAAAGGTTTATTTCTCCCAGTTAGTTCTTTCTAACAAGGAGCTATGATTTTAAAAGTTTATTCCACCTAAAATACCAACTTATGTTCAAGAACTTGTACTTCTAACAAGCAAGTTATGCGTTTAAAGGTTTATTCCAACAAAAATGCTGCTTTCCCTCCAAGCACCTACACTTGTAAAGGTTTATTTCACCCAGCTCGTGCTTTCTAAGAGGGTTTGACTCTGTGTCCGGTGCTGCCAGGCATGCTGCAGGACGACTACCACTCCCAGAACCCGTACCACAACGCCGTCCACGCCGCTGACGTCACCCAGGCCATGTGCTGCTACCTGAAGGAGCCCAAGGTGAGAACAGAGCTTCTACATCTTCCACCGAACCGCCGAGTCGTCAGTAGCTGCTGCTGAGTCGTCCGTTCTTGTTCAGTCAGAAATTCACAGCTGACAAACTGCAGAATTTAGTTCTTTACACATGATTATCTCCACACCAAGACTTGTTATGAAATAAATCTGTGAGTGAAACATGCAGACATTTCACCACAAAGACTGTTTTATTTTTACAGATTTTTTAAAATGTATATTTCAATACACAAATGAGGCACTATATACGTATATACCTAACAAGGTGTTATTGGTTTAAAAGCATTAATATCCAGAATATAAATGTGAACTTTGGATGAATCAAAAAATGTTTGTTTTGTAAACATATAAGAAGAAAAGGTTCGGTCCATGAATCAGAACACATCCTCAGCAGCCAGAAATAATCTATTTTTTCTATGTTTTTAGTAATAAAATGTCGTATAAGTCTGCCTGTGAACAATATATAAACAAACCCCTCAGTGAAAACCTTCCTGAATAAAGATGAAGGAATAAAACTGGAAGGTTTGGTGAGTAGAGGAGCTGCTGAAATGGAGATTTATTGGTCAGAACAGGAGAGGAAATGTCCAAAAGTATGAACATGCTGAATGTCTCACAATGTCTGGACATGAATAATAAAAAAGGTAGAAGATGTCCCAAGATTATTAACCAAACATTCAAGAGTTTGTTTCCCTGAGTCAGAGAAAAACAACTTTTTAACGTTTGCTTTGTTAAATTCTGTATGTTTTTACGTGAAGCTGCTGTTTTAACAACCAGATGTCAGCATGAAGCTTCCAGCTGATCGCTGACATGGCAGGTTTTCAGAAATGTTGTCCGAGTCCGTGTTCCTCCTGCACTGTGTAGTGAACCGGTTCTGGTCCGTGGATCTTCACGGACCTCTGTGTTCTGCAGCTGGCCGAGCAGCTGACTCCTCTGGACGTCTTCCTGGGTCTGATGGCGGCCGCCGCCCACGACGTCGACCACCCCGGAGTCAACCAGCCGTTTCTCATCAAGACCAGACATCACCTGGCGTCGCTCTACCAGGTGGGTGTCGGGTCATCGGGGACACAACATCTGCTTTGGATGTGCTCACTAATCATCTCCACTCTGGGTTTGTGTGTGTGACAGTCTGTCTACATTATGTTTTTGGTGTTATCGGTTGCAGAACACATCGGTGCTGGAGAGTCACCACTGGAGGTCCACTGTCGGGATGCTGAGGGAGTCGGGACTGCTGTCGCACCTGCCTGCTGACGTGACGTAAGAACACATATAAGATAGAAACGGATAGCAAAGAGTACAAATACAAAACATAAATACAGTGCAAATAGGTACAGGTGTGCTACGTTGGAGCTGTAGCTGCATATTGGCACAATGTTGAGGGCTGTGTTTTTAACAAAGCAGGTAAAAATGAACCAGCATTCTGACTCAGTGGCGCCCCCCTCCACTCTACAGGCAGGACGTGGAACAGCAGCTGGGTTCCCTCATCCTGGCCACGGACATCAGCAGGCAGAACGAGTTCCTGCTAACCTTCAGAGAGCATCTGGACAACCAGGACCTGGACCTGCAGCTGGCTGAGCACAGACACTTTCTGCTGCAGGTAGATATTTCACAGTAACACTCAGCGTGGCAGATAACCGAAAGCTGTCCCGCGTGTCCACCACAGAACGATTTTTCACAAGTTTCTATACTTAAAATATATGTTGTAGTCTTAATTTTATGAGATTTTACAGTATTTAGAAGGTTTATTGTTGCTGTTAACAGACTGTCATGATGTCATAATCTTGAAAAATGGCCGACGTTTTAAAGGTGGACTAATGTTTCTTTCTACATTAATACCAAATGTGTTGCTCATATGAAGTCGTGTGCATCGCTCTGTAAGTTTCCCTCCATGCAGGCGTCACTGCAGTGCTGATATACAGTAAACGTGCGTTTCCTTCTGCTTCAGATCGCTCTGAAGTGTGCAGACGTCTGTAATCCCTGCCGGACCTGGGAGCTGAGCCGACAGTGGAGCCAAAGAGTCTGTGAGGAGTTCTTCAGGCAGGGTAGGTCGACTTCCATCGGCCCGATACTCTTTGTGTTTATTCACAGGCCTCCATCCCTGAACAACTCAACTGCTTTTTGAGGGAATAAACGTCATTTAGCTTCTGTGAAAGCTTTGAAAGAGTCAATCAAAGGTTTAAAATGGATCTTGTTGTGAAATTGTGGTCGATTTTCATGTTTTTTTTGAAGAGTTTCAGACAAGTCAACTGGTTTAAAGCGTTGTTTACTGACTGATTCTACGTCTTTGAAATGTTCTTTCCATCAAACTGATCTGAAACGGGTTTTCTGTCGTCTGCTGACTCTGCAGGAGACCTGGAGAAGAAGTTTGATTTGGAGATCAGTCCGTTGTGTGACCAACAGGCCGACTCTGTTCCAGCAGTCCAGATCGGTGAGTTCACACAGTTCAGGAGGACCCATCAAGACCAGGGACCGGTACTGAATCCTGCTAACAGGTCGAATCATTAGAAACCAGGAGTCTTGGTGGCCTCCTTCACTAGTCTCCTTCTNACAAACATAACACAACATAAACACATCACAACACAAACACAAGCACAAACACAACACAAACACAACCAGGTGCAAACACAAGCACAAACACAACACAAACACAACCAGGTGAGACACACAACCTCCTCTACTCACCTCCCAGACTCGCTCTCACTCTTCCGTCTCTTTCTTTGCAGCACATGCTGACAAAAGTCGACTCGTGGAACTTTGACATCTTCCTCTTTGACCGTCTTACTAACGGTGAGCTCCGACTCTACGTGTTTGTGCGTCTTTAGTGCGTTTTTGTCGCGTGTCCTTCTCCAGACAGTCGACCTGCTGCGCTAAACGTCTTTTCCACGTCGTGTTGCAGGAAGCAGCCTGCTGACTCTGGTGTGTCACCTGTTCAACGTCTACGGCCTCATCCATCACCTCCAGCTGGACGTGGTCAAGCTGCACCGCTTCCTCAGTAAGCTGCACACAGACACACCAACATGGACCCGTCAGACTCCACAGAATGCAGGAAAACATCCAGAAATATCTGAGAATTATGATTAAATAAACGCCAGAACTTGCAAGGTGGCTCGGTGGTTAGCACCTAGAAGCTAGA